CCGAACTTGCTTTGTCGGCGACGCCCAGGACACAGATCCTGAGGACATCAGCGAAGCAGAGCTGGTGCCCGACGCTGAGATGCCTCAGCGAGGTGCCCCTGATGGGGTGGACGATGCCGGTGGCGCACTGGCGCCCGAGGAAAGAGAACGTCTCATTTTGGAACAATTCCCGTTCCCCGGAACTCCGAACACAGAGGCAGAGCGCCGAGCGGCGTGGAGATCGTTACCGCAACGAGTCCGGGTAGCTATAAGGCGCCTGCACCGGTCGTTTGGCCATCTGCCAAACGCAGTCTTGGTTCAGGTTCTGAAGCAGGCCCGGGCGAGCAAGGATTTCATCGCCGCTGCCGGACTTTACAAGTGTAAGGTCTGCCTGGACACAGCTCCAGTGCCCAGGCATCACCCTGTCGCAGGCGATAGCGTGTTCCCAAAGGAGTTCAACCATACGATAGGTATGGATGCGCTAGAGGTCAAAGACTTCTACGGAAATCGCTATACTGCTGTCAATATAGTTGACATGGGAACAAGTTTCCAGCAAGTTGTGCTCGTGAAATCTGGGGGTGGTAACCCAAGTGCCCGCCAGTGTGTGAAATGCCTGATTGACAGGTGGATCAGCTGGGCTGGACATCCCAAAGTCATAACCACTGACAGAGGGACGCACTTCAGGGGAGAATTTTCAGAGTATTTGGCACAGCATGGTATAACCCATAAGAACGCCCCTCTTGAGAGTCCGCAGACTATTGGAAAGGTCGAACGCCATGGTGGACTTGCTAAGGCCATCATCAGAAAAGTCGCGCAGGAGACTCAGCCCTCGAATATCGAGGAGATGGAGGCGGTCGTTACCGAGAGCGTTACTACTAAGAACGAGCTTAGTAGGCACCAAGGGTTTAGCCCAGCACAACACGTGTTGGGAAAACAGCCTCGAACACCGGGTTCCGTGCTAGATGAATCCGAAAGCCTTGGTACATTGTTCACCAAGTATGATGAGACGAGTGTATACTACATTCGGCACAGAGCACGGCAGGAAGCCAAAAAGGCCTTTGTTCACTTAGAGACTTCCCGCAAAGTGGCCAAAGCGTTACAGCGTAATGCAGCCCCTCTAGACACTGACTATAAGGTTGGTGATTTAGTTATCTATCGTCGGGATAACGTCCCTGGCAGCCCAGGTGTCGTATGGTCCACAGTTAGCCGCGTCATAGGACGTGAGGCAGAGAATGCGTACTGGGTATTACACGAGAATATCCCTGTACTTGTGAATGCTAGGAAGATGCGACCAGCTGATGAAATTGAAGTTGCAGCGCACCGCGTTTTGGCAGGTGAACCAGTGCTTCCGGAAGCCATTGTACATGGGCCGGAACAAAGGTTCCAGGATGAGCGCGTAGCAGATCCGGTCACAGCACCAGCGACGCCACGTCCAGTGGCTGCAGCTGCCCCGCTTACACCGGCAGTCGCGCACGATGTGTCTATGCCAGCACCATCGACGCCAGCGATGATGCCCGGCACACCGATGCCAGCGCCATCTACACCTGCAAGGTTTCGCGCCAAAGATAAGACGGGCGAAACCGCCCGGTCGCGATCGCCAGTAGGAGGCCGTGATGATGCACTAGTTGCGGAAGAGATTGATCAAGTAGAGACCATGGCAAAAGGCCTGATAGATACTCAGGGTTTTTCTCCAGATGAGTGTCTGGCCCTCCTTCGTGCTTATGACCGCGACCGACGCGAGGCGTACACGCGCCCGCTCCTAGATGATGGAGATCCCGGGAGCATAGCCCTCGCGGTGGGAGTATATCGGCACGGTGGTCTTGTTGGTGTCTCTGGACCAACGCGCGAGAGACCGTCGTTCGCCATGTACCTCAACCACTACATCTTGCATCACAGTATGCAAGCCGGTCATCATCTCCCACAGTGGAGTAGCGTTCAGCTTACCAACAGAGGCGCAGAGGCCCATAGAGACCTAGCGAACACTCCTGGCTCGTATAACTACACTATAGGTGTGGGCGAGTATCGTGGAGGCGGCCTATGGGTGGAAGAAGCCACGGGTACAACCCCCGTGCGTGTTCAAAACACGACAATGTATGGCACCGTCCATGATACTAAGAACAAGGTTCTTAAGTTTCGCCCGAAGGACGTGCACATGGTCGCACCGTTTGTAGGAGAAAGATACAGTCTCTCCGCATACACGGTGAGTGATCTCGGTAAGTTGTCTAAAGATGACATACAGCTTTTGTCGGACTTAGGCTACCCCATATATAGGGATGCGCCCAACACCTTTGGCAGGAAAGGCGATGGGATATACACCATGGGTCACTCTGATCTTCCCATCGAGACGTTCCTAGAGCGCATCCACGAGTACGGGATTAAGGAAATCGTAGATTGCAGAAGTCATCCGTACAGCGTTCGGCATCCACAATACAATTGTGATGAGCTTTCCGCCACATGCTTTGCAAAAGGGGTTGTGTACAGTCACGCCCCCGAGTTAGGCAACAAGAATCGGGGCGGGATTGAAGCTAACCTGCAAACAGACCAAGGGCTCTCCACGATCGCTAGAATAGTTAGCGAGGCTCACGATGACTTCCACCGAATACTTCTGTTGTGTTCGGAGGCCAGTTGGCGGCGATGCCATCGGCGAAATATCGCCCAGCACATATTGCTCGAGCATTCGAAACTTGCCGAGCACATACGTGCTAACGGACTGCCAGAAGCCCATCCGTGTCACTACATTCCTGAGGAAGACGACGGACTGGCAGCAGCATCGCACACAGCTGCGATTGGCACGACAGTGCCAGCAGCTGAGCCCTCGGATAGTCGAGCGGCGGAATCCAAGGCCTTTGCTCTCACCCCAGATGGGGAAGACGCCTTCGGCTCTAATGTCGATGCTGGCTACATGGCCTCGCTCCTGGATTACCATAAAGCCCCTGTAGAGGTACAGCTGGGGCTGGATGCTGCCATGAAAACTGAATGGCAGAAGTACACTGAATTCAACGCAGTGGTCCCTTGCACAGACAAGGAGTTTAAGGAGCTTACAAAGGCTGGCCACGTGTGTATCCCCACCAAATGGGTCCTCACCGATAAGAATGAACACCTAAAGGGGACGCCAGCATACACTCCCAAGTGGAAAGCACGCTTGGTCGCATGTGGAAACTTCGAGCATATCTCGAATGAGGAGGATATCAGGGCAGACAGCCCCACGGCCGAGCCGGAAGGTATAGCCCTTCTGTGTTCATGGGCGGTTTCGTTGGCCCTGCGGCTCAAAGCAGCCGATATAACGAACGCATACTTCCAAGGGAAACCCCTTGAGCGCCTCCTCATTCTTCGGGTTCCTAAACACCCTAAGGGTGTGCCCGATGCAGAGATTCAGCGAGCCGGGCATATGATTGCCCGAGTACCCGTGTATGGCACGACCGACGCGGGTCGGAACCTCTACCTCCGTATAAAGGAGAGTGCCCGAGAATTTGGCTTAAATGCCTCGCAAATTCTGTCAGCCCTGTACTATATTACAGGAGAAGGTGGTCGTTTGTGCGCTTGCTTGTGCACCCACGTGGATGATTTCCTGTGGGCTGCTACCGCCGAAGGCGAGCCGGCTATCCAGAATCTGCTGGATAAGTTTAAGATCGGTCGCATAGAGACTGAGAAGTTCCGTTTCTGCGGACGCGAGTATGTGCAAAGCGCCGATGGGACCATCAGTATAAACTGTAGGGACAACACGCGTGCAATTCGCCCGATCGATATACATAAATCTGAAAAGGGCACGACTCCAGTCTCGAATGGCCAGCGCACAGCGCTGAGATCCGTCATAGGATCGCTGGCTTGGGTGGCCCGCGCCACGAGACCTGATCTTGCCTATAGGGTGAATGCCCTGCAGCAGCGTGTTACGACAGCCACGGTGGATACGCTCCGTGAAGCAAACCGCGTAGTAGCACTGGCGTTAGGAGATGCGGATAGGCCGATCACGTACAGCGCTAAGTTACCCTGGAATACAGGGGAGCTGGCGGTCGTCACGTTTTGCGACGCCTCCTTTGCAGGAGAGGCGAACCATAAGTCGCAGAGAGGCCGTTTCCACTACCTCACTTCCGCACAGTCGGCGGTGGACAAGAACGCGCCAACGCATGAGATGCACCTTATTTCGTTCTCCTCGTCCACCATGAAACGGGTTTGTCGCGCCACACTGCAGTGTGAGGCTTACTCGTTGCAACACGCCATAGAGCATGGAGACCGCATTCGAGCAGCAGTACTCGAACTGCTCGGCAAACTGCCCCGGTCACAGAACTGGGAAGAAGTCGCCAAGAGATCGATGTTCCACCTGCAGTATACGGACTGCAGGTCCCTTTCGGATCACTTGACAGCGTCGATTCCAAAGTCTTGCGAGGATAAACGCCTTGCCATAGAGATGTCCGGACTCCGCCAAGGACTTTGGGAAGAGGACGAGCTAACGCACGCTCTGTACCATCCCTTTGGCGATGAGTTGAGATGGATACCGACGCATTTACAACTTGCGGATTGTCTCACTAAGAGTATGAAACCGCTTTTGATCAATCACAGCATTGATCGCAATCTCGTTCAGGTACTCGATGTGCCCGCGCAAGCCGCACAGAATACCGAGAGTACCGAAAGCACTCCGCTTCGCGATTGAAGAACTCAGCCTGGAGCCTTGAGTCGCCGCACTCGGCTCGGTTGACTGCGCAAGCTCCCGGTATAATCCGGTGAAGTAGGCTTGGCCCAAAGCGGCCATAATTCGAGCATGATTCGGACGTCACACTACAGATAAGACGGGTGTGAAATTTCCCTGTCTTGAAGTGCCGTGTTGACATGTCCTCATGCGAGCGTAGTTTTCGTGCTAGTTCTGAACGCACCCTATTCGACAGACGTCTTGGGCTCAGACCAAAAAGTGCGCTCGTTTGTGTGGTTGGACACTCACTAATCCAGTTCCTGCTTCAAAACCCTAAACCTAAACCCTAAACCCATAAACCCTAACGATTCGTCGATTCTGTCTTCAACTTCGCCAGACGCGAAAGCGGCGGCTCCAGGCTGGCCGCACCGACATTCTGGGCTCTGCGGCCGCAATTGCTCGAGCCTCCTAGAAACTTCAAAAGCCGTTCATAGGAGGCCAAAAGGGGTTTTAGAATATGGGGGTTTAGTAGGGACTAGGGTTCCCATAATAGGGTTCCTATTAAGGAATCCCTACCCCAAGAATCTTTTGGCATCCCATCAGCCATAACAGGCAGCTATCAGTAGTATGAATGTCTATATCCATACCTATATCCATATTGCTAGCTATATCCCTGTGAGACTGACCCTTGTTTGCTTCTGGGGTGAAGCAGTGGCAGCTAGCTAGCACCAGTAGCTGCAACTGTTTCATTCATCCCACATCCCTGACGTGTGCTTTTAAAGGTATGGACGGCTGTGCCTTATTCTGCTTCATTTGGCTCATCACGACGGGTGTGTCTGGGCAGCACCCCATCGACTAAGCGGTTGCAATCTCATTGATCTGGATTGGCATCTCATGTGCCTGTCCATAATCGGCCAATCTACGTCCTGGTTTCTTGATCAGCTCCGCGTCAGCCTCCTACTTTCCTTCTTGCTTTGGGCCCCTCTGTCTCTCTCGCCCTCCCTCCTCCCCTTCCTCAGTCTTCCCTCCGCCCTCCTTTCTGTTTCTCTTTCGCACGAAGAAAGCAGGCACTCCGCAGTCACCGGCTGAAGGTCGTGTTCTCGCTGCTCTACTTCAGCATTTTTGCCCGCGATCGCCACTTCTTCGCGCCACTTCAGCAGCTCGCAATTTTGATGGAACCATTTTCGCTCTCCGAGTGGAGGCAGCTTCGGCGATTCTCGTCCCAGTTCTCGGAGCCCGAAGCGCCATCGTCTCAGGCGCACAAAGGTGGGCAAGTTCTTCCACGGCGGAGTGGCGGCGATTCTTGATCCTCGTCAAGCAAGACTGCAACAGCTCGTAGCTGTCACGAGTCCCTCGGTTCAAAAGCAGCGTGCTCGATCTGTGTCGGAAAACAGGTGATACAGTTTCGGTAGGAGGTGGTTCCGATAGCATGAAGCTTCTGTCTTCCTTGCCGGATGATTTTGAAGTCCGTCTGGATCCGGACACAGAGGTATCCAGACTGAGCTAAGGAATGATCCGCTGGACGCAGGTACAGCGAATGTGCAGTGCGGCGGACATTTGACTGACATGCAAGTGGGACAACGAAATCGTGTTGCTCCTCCTCGGGTGTGTCTGCTTGTTTACTGCGTTCGGAGGTCCATGGGTAGTTATAAGTCGGGTTTACAGGTAGGATAATTATGTAGTTGTAGCCTATATTCGCGGGCTTATAAACCCTACTTCTAACTACCCATGAACCTCCAAGCATGGTCTGCTCGCAGCAGACCAGTGCCGGGAACAGAGCCTTCGGAGTGGTCTTGGATGCGGCACACAGCGATCCTCGTGGCTCTCGTTCCTTAACATTGGTTTAAACACGTAAGGAGTGAAAGACGATCGCCTTGCAGATCCCACCAACCTGGCCCAAGAAGACTCACAGCTCACAAGCTCCTTCACAAGGGTGAGAAATTCGCGAATGTGCATGTTGGAAGGGAGTGAGGGTCGAGATGAAGGGGCTGGTTTGCAATTGGCATGCGAGCTTGCCTGCCTTCTTACCTCGAGTCCGAACTCGCACGTTCGAAGCTGAACAGACACCATGGCCCCGGAAATGTCCCGAACAGAAATATCGGAGAAGAAAGCCCCCAAGCCCGAACAGCAACAGACCCTAAACATAGCTCTGTTGCTCCGGGACCAAAGCAACAACTCGCTGAGATCCGCTAAGTGAGCTGCCCAGTCCCTTAGAAACCAACACTGTGCCTTTACTGCACAGTGGGGATTACGGCTTAGTTTATCCATCTATCCAGTCGAAGACCGAGCCTGAACGCTACACCCTCAGCCCCTACACTGTTTCGCGTTTGCGGTTCTAACACTCAATCTCGAAATGCGACGAGCCACATGAGCATCTTCGCCTTGCATGGCGGTGGTGGGCAAAGAGCGGTTGGACTCGCTGCAGTGCGGCGAGACAGGTTCCGGAGCTCGAAATTCAGCTTGACTGTTCTTGGTTGTTTGTCGCAGCCTTGCGGTTTGTGAAGATGGTTTCCTGAATTGTCCTGATGTGTTGCGTATTAAGTATTAGGACGTCGGATGGTTAAAAGGGCACTGTGGGACAGAACGTTGCCAAAGATTGTTTCTGCCTCAAGCCCGCGTGGCGTCTGCTTAAGTATTGAAAAGAGCATCGGAGGCAGTCATCCTGCAGACAGTTCCCTGTTTTTCTGGTAGCGACCTGGAGGAAGCCCAAACCCTAAACCACTATTTAGTATAGGGACCTGAAAAATTACCTATACTATTTTGGGGGTCCTTATTATACTTATAGTATAATGGGCCCCGAAACCCTATTCTAAGTATGAAGGCCTCTATATTAACCCCTAGATCCCTAAACGGTCACACTGGAGGCCCTTAATGTTGACTTCCGATTAATAACCCCCCCCCCCCCCCCACTTGATTGTTTGCTGGCCCCGGGTGGAGGGATTGACTATTGAGGGGGGTCCGTCGGCGCTTGGTTTCTAAAGCTCGCGGTCCTTTTCCTGGCTTCTAAAAACACGCAGTAGCTACATTTTTTGGGTTCCCGGGTTTTATAATTGAGTTCCGGGGGTGGCGTTTTGTAATTGAGGGGGGATTATAAATATGAAGTCAACATTAGAGTGGAAAGCGTGCCATGGAGGGCCCCCAGGAAGTCTCCAGGCTTTAGGGTTTAGGGTTCCTAAACCCTACTGCCAGGTGGAGATCCGACAATCTCAAAACATGGAAAACCGGGCACCCTCACCACAGACTCCTCAAGCCACGACTTCTGATCCCTGACGCCTGAGCCGGAAAAAGGCCCTCAACGTGGAGTTTTTGAGCCCCTACCCTCAAGAGAATGAACGGAAGGGAGTTTCCGGCGCACTCTCTGCCATAGGTCGCTACCGCCTTTCGCCCGCACGATCCTGGCCCCTCGACTCTGATTATCCTCATGCAGGGTGCAGGTACAGATCCCTGACTTGAGGGGCAGTTGTTTCAGCAAAATCTCCGGGATTTGAGAGTCTTGGAGAAGTTGCGAGTCGGTTTGTGATTTGGCTTCTTAGTTTGCAGGTTCGGGCGTTGGGGTTTGGGAACTGGGGGTTCGTGGATAGGCTTAAGGCTAAGGGCTTTGGCTTTGGGGGTGTTGGGTTGGCTGGGACTTGAGTGTTTTCAAGGACGCCAGGTGCAGGTATATACTGTCAAGAGAGGCCTGATTATAGAGGCCTTAATGACTAGAATAGGGTAAGGGGGGCGTATAATACTATAAATACATCAAGGAACCCCCAAAAACCCTATTCCATTTATTAAGGCCCCTACTGTACGTCATGGTTGGGTGTTTCGGAGAGAAGGTTTAATTGGTTGCGAAGCCTGATCCCCAAGCACCCGACATCTTCACCTTAAACCCCTAAACCCTAAACCCCTAAACCCCCAAACCCCTAAACCCTAAACCCAGCCCAACCCCGAAACCCTAAACCCTAACCGAACCCCACCGACCCAGCCCTGAACCCCACCCCAGCCGTGAGCCGGAGCTCCTTTCGCAAGGTCGATGTCAACAACATCCGTGGGCATGGACGTGAGGCCCGTTTTGTGGCTCGGTTTAGGGTTTAGGGTTTTGTTGCTCGGTTTAGGGTTTAGGGTTTTGTTGCTCGGTTTAGGGTTAAGGGGTTTGTGGCTCGGTTTAGGGTTAAGGGTTTTGTGGCTCGGTTTAGGGTTTAGGGTTTTGTGGCACATTCTGGGTTGGGCACTATCCCAGCCCTTCACTTGTCAAAGATATTGTTCCAGAGATGGGACCACACCGCTAAGCCAATGAGGCTTCTAGGGGTTCTAGGGTTTGCCAGCCAGAAGGCAAGTATGTACATAGTTATATTATATATATATGTATGTATCTAGTATCTCTCTCTCTCTCTCTGTCACTCTCTTTCTCTCTCTCTCTCTGTGTTACTTCCCTTCTTATCTCACTTTATCTAAACTTGCGTAACCGTGTCTAACAGCATGTAACCCAATATTTTTCGTCTAATCTAATCTAATCTACTTGAATCTATTCTCTACTCTAACCTAATGCAAACAACTCTCTCTCTCTCTCACTTGTTTGTGTATCCATGTATCTATTCATCCGGCCATCTGTCTGTCTATACCTATCTAAAATTTCAAAACTGAACCCGCGCAACCCGAGCCGAGGCCCGCGACCCAAAACTCGAAACTCACAGCTTGTACCTGAATCCGCAGTACTCAAGATCAATTCCGAACCACCCCCATGACTGAGCCCTACACCCCGAATATATGAGCCCAGCTCTGACACCTTGCTGCAACACCCAAATCCCCGAACCAATTACTTCCAAGACTCCAACCCTCGACCCCCATAGCCCCCAAGACCCACACCCTAAAGCCTGAAATCCTACAAGCACTAACGCTGTAAAAGCTGTACTTGGAGGAACAAGCGACTTGAAAAGCAAGATATTGCAAGAGCTGTAGCAGATGTAGGCATTTTGCCTTACCTGTAGACCAACTTAATACATCGCCTGATCCCTTAAATATAGACCCCGGACAGAGGAAGCTCGAAACCTTTGACCCTGCACTTTGCAGACATGAAACCCCAAACCTTAAATTTCACAAACCCCAGGGCCGAAACCTTTAATCCTAAACCCTCAAACCCGAAACCCGATAGAAACCTACCTTTAACCCTAAACCCGAAGAGCCCCAACAAAAACGATGGAAGCCTTAACCTAGCCGTCCGAACCCGAGGACATGACCTCGGCGGGTTTCCTTTCCTGGCTTCTGGCCTGGGCCAGCGACACTGCCCAATGTGACTTTGAGGAGGCATTTGTGTCTGTGTCTGTGTATGTGTGTTCTTATATTTTATTTTTATTTTTTTGGGAAGGGGGAGGTGGCTGGCGCCTTGTAGGGTTTAGAGTGGATTTCTGGGCGGCAAGCGCTTTGGGGCTTTAGGGTTTCAGGATGTTTGAGGGTTAAGGGTTTAGTTTCAGGGTTTAGCGATTGAACGGCTGGGACATGTGCCACCACCTCAAGACTTGTTGAAGTTGTTCGCATTTAGGCCAGGGCCTCGACGACCGAATCACGGGCGGCGGTTATTTGGACGAGGTTCAAGTCCGCGTTCAAGCATGAACGTTGGGCTTTTGTGAGGTAGACGAAAAACCAAACTCCAGAATCCTCAATGCCCCCCCTCCTCTCTAAATCCCTAACTGCTAGGAGCGACATATACATATATATATATGTATATATATATATATATATATATATATGCAAAGCCTGCAAAGCCTTCTGGAAGCCCTTGGGAGGTGGTTGCGGTGATGGACCACGGCCAGCAATCTGAGGCGTTTGATTTGGGTGCCGTCTCTGTGGCCTTCGCCGGTCCCAGGAGGTGGCAGCGATTGTCCGTCTCTCTTTCCGTCGCTCTCTCCGCCTCTCTGCACTCCTTTTGCTCTCTATCTCCCTCTGTCTATGTCTGTCGTTGTGTCTCTGTACCTCCTTGGAAGTGTTATGTGCTATACGTCAAGGTTCCAATTGAGCAACAACTTCGTTTGTGCGAGAAGTGGTTCAAAGTTTTGCTGTTATGTCATCGTATGCAGACTCACGCCGTTCTGCTCATTTCGTAAGCATAGGGTTGACTAATTACCCCGGGTCCAGAGAAGAAATCTTGATTTGTTGTCCTTCGTTGCACTGGTGTGCCCGAAGGACCGCCGATGACCTTATCTGCCTTCTGGCAAGGCTGCTTGGTGCATGTTATTGCGACGGCCAGCTCTGGGGCCATCATGCAAAGGTTGGATCTATTGGGGGGGGGGGGGTGACCTAACATAATAGTATAAAAATAAGATAATAATATAATAGCATCATAATCTTCTTTCGGATGGCTTGTGTTCGGTGAACGCGCCACATGCACATAAATTCTGTGAGACGGTGAGAAACTGGGGCTCAAGAACTCGGCGAACGGAGGCCCGTGGCGGTCGGTACAAAGCCCGCGCGCAGAAGCCAAGCGTTGGCAGGTTCGAGCGCTGCCAGTGCAGCGGCCGAGGCGAGGAGCCTCACCGGGTGTGCCGCAGAAGTCTGAGCGAAGTTCCCCAAAACATCGCAACTGGACTCAAGCCAGCGCATGAACCCAGACGCCGCCGCCAAAGGCAGGCTGCAAGTAAAGGGATACACGTATCCCTGGAGCGGGGGATCTTCGAGTTGGAAAACGGCCGGAACACCAGACAGGATGAAGGGGAGCTGACAAGCCGGCCGCCAATCGAGCTCCTCAAAGGGATCCGCGCTCCCCCCCGACACGCGAGAAGCACGAAAGTCATCACAACACAGTTGCGGATCAAGCATAAGCTTCACGTCCTCTGCTACCTCTGCCACATCGTGGGCTACGCCCGGTGTGGATGCCCACAAGTCAACCGTGGCGCGTAGTGTCGAAAGAGGTTCGATGAAGTCCCTAATGACACTCCAAACCGTGTCACAGTCAACACGGTCGAGGGCAAGAAGAGCCTCAAGCAACCCTTTGTGGTAAGTAGCAGGGTCGACCTCAGCCTGGCCTCCGGACAGCACGCCCGGTACGCGGAGGGGAAGGGCCATGGCATGCATGTCTGGGAGGGCCGTAGAGTCCGGCCGGAATGAACCCCAGGCTTTCCGGCAGGAGACGCTGCTAAGGAGGTGTCGGCGAAGCCGGGGGGGCTTGGCGAAGCACTTTCCACATCCCAAGCAAAGCCGCTCATGGGTCCCGGCCATCTGGGAAGTGACGAGCCGATAACCGTGCTTCTTGGAAGCATGGCACGCCCAGGCAGATCAGGCATGCGTCGGTGAAGACCTCCCCGCGGCGGGTAGGAGGCGCGATAGACACACCCTCGAGGGCATGGAGGCTTCGAAGGAGCGCCCTCAGAGCGGCATAGCCAGAGGTCCTCAGGATCGCGAGGCCCCTGGCCCGGCGCACTAGCCCCTTGAAGCGGCCCGGCGCCTGGCACATCAGAGAGGTCCACGGCTCAGGGTCTGTGTTGGGGCACGGCAGATCGGTGGTGCGATGCACCCAGGAGTAGAGCCAAGCCATCGAAGCCCGGAGAGCTCGAAGGTACGGCAAGTCCAACCGCACCAAAGCCCATAACTCGCTCGGGGCCCCTGCCACAAGCTGCCGCAGATATCTGAGCCTCTCGACATGGATGACGGTGTCCGCATCAGGTTGCCCAACTAGCGAACAGACCTCAACCGTAGTCAGATGTTGGTCACCGTCCTTAGGTACGGCGAGGGTGGCCCGGTATAAGGCGAAGAGGGTGCGGGAGAAAACACGCGACTCACACACACGCAGGGGTGGCCAGGCGCCTGCTCCAAAGGTCAAGCGTGACAGCACAAAGGTCCGAAGCAGTGCTCCCCGCCTAATTAGCGAGATGCGTTTGCAGCGGAAAAGCTTGGTGCGATTCTCCCGAAAGGCGACCCACGCATGGTTGCACCGCAGCTTCAGTTCGACTGCGACGTTCCCAGATGGATCAATGGTGACCCCTAGGTGACGGTAAGCGGGCACCAGGGGCAGCCTAGCATGTCCCCGCCCTTCACACAAAACAGGGACAGTGGCGTCTCCCTTGAAGAGGTCACGCTTAACATGACGAGCATGGGCCCCGCGAAGCGAGACCAGGGCGGCGGTCTTCCGCTCGCCGAAGCTCAACTCGAACCCGTGTGAGCCGAAGGCGTCGACTAGGGCTCCTGTCTCGTTCGCCAAGACAGGACGCACCTGTAGAGCTGAAGGGGGCCCCAAGCACACTGCAAAGTCATCGGCCCATATGACATCGGCAAGGTGGGTGTCAGGGTGCTCCGTTGCCGGCGCGACACTCTCGCCCCAATGTCGAGCGCCGTCCCACGGGATGAGACTGTTTGCCGCCTCGGCGGTGACGGGGGAGCGCTGGGCATCCCGAACACTCAAGATTCGCTGGGCCAAGACGGCAAAGGAGAGATCTGCCCATGCAGACCCCGGTCGAGTGCCGCGACGTGTCTGGATGATCTGATCGTCGCGGGCTAAGGTCATCCAGGTGTTCGCATGTATTTCATGCGTGACGGCTTGAAGCCACTCGGATGCGCCTTGCTGCGCGAGGGCGGGCGGCTGCACCAATTGGAACTCCAGGTCAAGTTCGGTGCTGGCCGGCGGCGCAGCGGCAGGCCGGTTGTGTGGCCCACTGGCCGTCAGGGCTCGCTCAGTGCGATAGTACGCGGCCGCGACGTCTGAAAAGACGATTACCGTTGATTGCTTAGCCTCGTTGCGGTGGCGCAAAAAGGAGCGCACAAGGTGCGATCCAAACACCACCGACGCGCCACGTCGTCCCCCGAGTTGGAGGGGGTGTGCGACGGCCTCAAAATGCCGGGATATTGCAGGCCGCAGCGCCCTGTGCAAAGCCTTTGCGACGACTGACAGCAGTAGAATTCCCCGATGGGAATCGCAGGACGACACCGAACCCCGGCCCTTATAGAGGTGTGTGAGGACACCACCTTTGAAGCCCAAAGGTTCCTCTCCGAGCAAGCAGAATTTCAGCAAGACAGGGTACCAGATGTGGGCAAGCTGCCTCGGAAATGCGGCATTCAAAGCGCTAGGGAGGCCATCGGGGCCCCCTGCCTTGCCTACTTGAGTTGAGGCAAACGCCTGACACAGATCTGCAGGGCAGGGAAGATCATGGATGTGGGCCGGCAACGGGAGAGCATTCCGAGCCGCCGTGGCTAAGGCACTCAAATCCGGAACGGAAACCTCCACACCGTTTTCCATGGCGCTGAAATGCTCTCGCCAGCGGCGCTGGACCAGCTGCGGGGTATCGCAGGGTCTGCCTCCATCATCGAGGACTTCTGGCAGGACTGCTGGTGCGAAGGCCTTCCTGCGCCTGCGGCAGAGAAGTCGCTGCAGAGCAGCGTCCGCACCCGGCTGGTTGCACTCCACGGCATCCGCCAGGCCCTCGACGTGCCTGGCACGGTCATTTTTGCATTGCGTCTTGAGGCGCCTGCCAAGTACACGAAGCTGCAGACTAGACACTGTGCCCGCGACACGCGCTGTGAGGGTCCACGGCCCTTCAAGCATGGCATGCAGGGCGTCACCCTGTCCCTCTCGGAGGGCCCGGAAGGCGGCGAAGAGAAGGTGGAACCGAAAGTCCTGTCGGATCCTGGCACAGCGGCGACGCAAACGGGCGACCTGTGCATGGAGGTCCCAGGTGGCCGCACTAAGATACGGATGGGTAGGGCCCCGAGGGGGTTCGGCGATGGCTTGCCGGAGTTCTGTCTGTAGGAACCCAGTGACCGAAGCTGCGTGGGAGTGGCTGCAGGTGCTCCACTCCGGTCGAGGCGCCTCGCCCAGCACCCCACATACAGCATCTTTCACCGCAGGGTCACCAACGCTCGTCGGCACACGGCCCGGAGCCTTGCTTCGCGGAGCAAGCTTAGAGCAACAGACCTGCATTCTAACGGATACGAGGGCAGCCACATGATCGACGACGCCGTGTGCGGCAGTGATCCCAGGATCGGTCCAGCTAGCGACCTTGGCCTGACGCCATGCCAAGGGCAAGGCAATCATATCCGGACGAATGAGGGCCTGATTCCTTTTTTGTGCGAAAGTCCAGCTGCTACCCTGGTGGACACCCTCAAACGTGGCTGGGATCCAGAGCTCATGATCCTTCAGGATACAGTGGAGAGCTTCGCCAGCGAGGTCTTGCTCCTCTGCCGCGAGGTCTGACACATGGGATGACACCCGGGTACCCACACTGGCATTGAAATCGCCGGCAAGGATCAAAGGCCTGCCCTTCACTAAGCGGCGGAGCACACTTGCTGCCTGCCCCCACCATTGCTCCAACATGTGGTGCTCAGTGCCCCTGTGGGGAGCGTGAAGGACAGCGAAGACGACCGAAAAGCCGCACTGACAGAGAACGACTAGGGTCCGTGCATCACGGTGTAGGACCAGAAAATGTTCCTCACGCAGTGTCACCGCCTGGGCCTTGGCTGGGGACCCTTGCAGAAAACGACGCCCTAGTCGAACCCATAACTCCACACCTAAATGCCCATTGCATGCACCGGAGCAGAGGCGGAGATAGCCCCCAGTGCGGACGAGGCCCGCCGGCGTGCGGGCCTCCTGTATGGCCCCTATATCGACATCGGCTGCAGACAGACTAGCGGCCAAGAGGGCGGGGCGAGCTGGTTGATGTGCCAACCCCGCAGGGCATGCCTCGACATCAGAGGCACCATGGCGCCCTCCCAAGGAAAGGGCGTTATAGGTGGCCAGGCGGATGGAAAAAGGGGCCCAATGGCTATTGGCCGCAGAGTCCGGCTCGACATGGCTTGCACAAATCGCTGCAGGCAGAAAGGGCTTGAGCAGCTTGGCCCTATCAGCAGGGGCAACTCCGCGGCAAACGCAGAGCTCCCCGCCCAGAAAGTCGGGCAGAGCGCTGTCTCCGGCAAGCCATTGGCAGGCCACGCCAATCCACGACCAGAGTCTGGCCTTCCGCAACAAGCTTCGCAACCTGATCAGCAGCTTCATTGCCGAAAACGCCAGCGTGGCCTTGGACATAGGCAATGAGGAGGCGACCAGGTAGGAGGGAAAAGGCAAAAGAGGCAACATGCCGCAAGGCTTGGCCTATGTGTGTGGAGCAAGCCCGACTACCATTGGCAATGGAGAGGGCAGCTTGGCAGTCGCTTAGAACCTCTATGGTGTAACCCCAAAAGATTGTAGGCAGGACCCATAAAGCCGCGATCAGCGCGGTGCACTCGGCAGCGAA